CTCTTCCCAGCTGCAATACAGACACATAGCGAAAAGGGAATAATACTTGTTTTCCAGTGCCACTACATAGTGCACATGAGATTTTAGAGATGTTCGTTAGAAATAGAGATTTCGGAAGTCGCTGGTGCTCTGCCTTGTTTGCTCTTGTCCTTTGGGTCTGCATCCTGCAATCCAGCTCAGGGTTTGTGGGATTCACTTTCATTATTTTAATCCTTTGCAAAATGAGTTTTCTCAAAGACACTGCTTGTAACTAAATTAGGAGCACGTGAAGAATATCCTCAAATGCATCGATTCTGCAAGCACCTACAAAACCAAGAAGCTTCACCTAATGTAACATTATTTTAATCATAAAGGATAGCATTTGCCAGATTCCCCTGATAGAAGACAGTAAAATGAAATAGCTACATCTATTCAGACGTGTTCGGTCATCTTCTGTTACAACCATGTTAAGTTACTGACTCCTAGATGTCAGCATGCAAAAGCTCTGTAGATCCTTGGGCCTTGCTGGGCAATATCAAATCGTTTCCTACCAATTATTCTTTGCTCTTTTGTCCATTCCGTAGTGATTGTACTAGGCTACTGATTAGCAATGTGTTTACCAGCATATTTTTTAAAAAGTTAAAGTAACTGAATGTAAGAATTATATGGCAGGTGATGACAGGGTCTGTTTGAACAAACGCTATTTAAAAGGCTCACTTCATGCATGAGACGGATCCAGCAAGCCTGTGCCTCCTATGATACCTAGCTAGTCAGCTGAGACGGTAAAATTAATCTCTGGGGTACCCATGAAACCAAAGTGACAGTGGCTTCCCCAGGGATAGGCTTGTCTCACATCTTTCCGGTAGGAAAGACCTGATGTTTTCCAGCCGTCAGAGAGGCTTTTCTTGCTTTGCAGCTGCCACCTCACCCGTGTTTTCATACCTCTGATGGTACCATGGTACGAGAACTGAGACAGATGATGCGGTTATGACACAGTGATCCAGATTTGTCCCAGGAATACCTTTTTCCAGGCATTATCTTGCCACTGCACAGGCATGCTTTACCCTGATAACATCAGGAAAAGAACAGATTTCTTTGGTTTCCCATCGTGAAGCCATCAGCCCATCGTTTTTTTATTTTAAGACATATGAGTCAGGATGCACTTTGTACAGCCTGAATAGCTGCCTTGTGTAATCACACCAGACTGGAAATCTTCCTCCAAAGCACTAGCAGGAATTGAGCTGAGACAGCAATTTTCATAATTTTTGCTGTCAGCTCTTCTGTCCTTAATTAACATGTTTTATTTTGTTCTGAAATGGCCGCTGACTAGAATAAGTCTGCGAGACGCAGGGAAGCTCAGATGATGTTTGCTGAAGTGCTGATGAAAATGAGGGAGCGCAACTCTGCTTGGGCACTGGGTGATCTCATACGGCCTCTCAGCGTAGCCATTTACATAAGAAAACTCGCTATTTTGGAGAGGAAGCTCTCGGAGCATGTGACACAAATCGTAGTGCTTTGAGAGATGTTTGAGAGCTCTCATTACTCATGGTCTGGGCACCGATAGCTACACAAGTGCCTCCAGGCCTGTTGTTAACCTTACTGAACGCAGGATTTACTCATCACGGTTCAAGAGGTCACAGCCGCTTATTTCTGAAGTGCTGACAGGAATTTTTCCCCTCTCTCACAAAGAAAAACCTCTTTAAATATTTATTCTATTTCTTTTTTGCACAGGAAACAGCTTCTCTTTAGTGCTACTTTTTTTTTTTTTTTTAATATAATTGGTTGCCCAGACAACATTTTCGAAGCACAGAACATTTTTATTGCCAGTCAGTGGGGTGATGCCCACAAATGGGCCTCCGTGAGCGTTATACCTGATGATGTGGCTTCTGCATACATGGTCTGCGATTTGTCCCCATCCGAAAGCTTTCATGCCTTCCAGCGTCGCTTCAATTTGCAGCACCTGCCTAATGCCCTCAAATAAATGTTGTCCTAATGGCACAACATGAATACGTGTCCTCATCTGGATTGGGGCAGACACGGGCCACAGCGCTGGCCCGTGAAGTGTCCTCTCTGCCAACTCTTTTTGGTTTTTTTTCCCATCCATTTTACATAGCGTTGAAGTAACACTCGGAGATCCATCATTTACATTGCAATTCCTGGCACTTTTCTTTAAAGATATGTAGAACGTCCCATTTTCTAAGGTATTATGAGGAATTAATTATTTTTGTCAGTTTAACCACTTTGCTTTTTAATTCCTGGAAAAAAGTTAGGCACCTATCACATGCCAAATGCACCAGGGCTCAGTTAAGAAGTCATTAACATCTGCTACTATTTATATTTCTTTACCTCCAGAAATGGATCCAGCTGGATCCTGCTGTGCAAAGTGCTGTCCAAGCTTCTGACTTGGTAGCAGACCTGATCTTAACTCAGGTCTGCTGCCCTTTGCAAGCATTTGCAGGCAGGCAGGGCCCCCTGTCATTTCTATCTAATTTCCCTGATTAGGATATACTTTCAACTCTCTGTGTTTCAGTTTTTAACTCAACTTTTCTTAGTTTCAGCTCCAAAGAACATTAGTATCCAAGACACTAAATTCCTGTTTATGTGGTTCAGAAATTCATCAAATAAGTGAGGGTGTAATTATAATCAATCTGCTTAATAAAGATCAGTTTTCTTTCTGAAAATTAAAGTATTACTTATCAAATCAGAGTATATCTAAAATGTGCATAACCAGTAGTGCATTAGCACATTAGCTTTTAAGGCTCTGCCTTACAGATTAAATTACTGTCAACAGTTCAGAGATCTCATTCTTTCAGGAGTCTTGTCAGAGATTTTGGTCCTGTGGTGAAAAGATGACAGTTAGGATAATTTAACCCAATTAGACTTAGTTAAAGCACTTTTGTTAAGATGCAAATCTACATGTTTACTTACTGAAGAGGCGGACTGATAATGCAACTTCTTCTAATGAAAAGGTCTTCCATCTTCTTATCTGCTTAGGACTCCTATCTCTCTCCATTTCTTATGGAAGGAGTCTAGGTGATGAGCTGGGACTAGACGCCCAACTTTTAGATAGCACCTAAATTGGGTAAGATGAGGCAGCTTGTGTGGCTCATTTCATTGCAGATCAGGTGTGTGGACTGGTTTGCATGCATCCCACCCCATCTTCTAAACTGGAGAAGAAGTGGTGTTTTCAAAACCCTGAGTGATCTGTGTGATTATGGGCAAGATCTGTATAAGCCGTTAGCGATCTGTCATGGGCTGCTCGGCTTGAGACTGTTTATAAGAACTTGATTTTGATGAAGGAGGTGTTCAAAACTGCCTGAAAATGAGTCATTCTTGAGATGTGTCAAGTTGGGCACTCACCAGGAGGTGACTCCAGTCACTCAGCAAATTCCTCTAAAGAGATTTTGGCTGTTTGGGAATTAGGTCTCACTGACTGAATTTCCGTGAGAGCTGGTCTCTCAAAAGCTTTGGTTACTTCTGCAGGTGGGACTTAGACTCGTGAGACACTTATGAGCATTGAAAAGTTTGGAAAAATGTTAGAAGCCTGTCTCAGGCAATCTGATCTCTTTTTGCAGAAATGCTGAATTATGAATTGTGTTTGTGGCTGGCTAATATCTTAATTCTACTGAGATTTAGAATTCTTGCTCTGAGTCCCAACCCAACTTCAAGTAAAATTTTCTTATATTTCCCCATCGTAGGGATTGGGCTGGACCTGGGATATGTGGTTGGTCCCTGAGGAGGTTTTTCTTTGTGAGAGAGGGGAAAAATTCCTTTCACCCCACCTCACTCACTGTTTTTATTCTCTGTAGTGCTTTTATAAAAGGTCATTTCACACATTTCAGGTCTGCCAGAAATCCAGTAGCAATTTCAGATCATATCAAAGCTGTGTGTTTCTCTTAGCCCTGCACAAGACTAAAGCATTTAAGTAAGCAATAGATTTCCATGTTGAATTTTGACTTACTCGCTATCTTTTAAGTCAGAGATTTGAAAATATTCAATAAGCCTTTGGAATATCCTTATTAGCAAAAAGCAACCCCAGGAGTTGTTTAGGCAGTAACACGAGTAATGAAGTAAAAATAAAGCTTGGGAACTGCTCTCACCAGAGTTTGCTCAGGCACAAGCTCGTGACAGTGCGATCGCTCAGCTCCATTGCCGTATCCTGAAACGGGGTTTGCTTGCGTGTGTTTGTAGCTGCATTATGTTCCATGGCAGCTATCTAAATCCGACTCAGTAACATGAAATAGGGACAACAGGAGCACAAGAAACCAGCAACGCTGCACCGAAACCCTGCTGTCCTTCAGAAACAGCCCCAAACTGCAAAGTCTTGGCCAACTAGAACAAGATGAGCACTGGAGGACTGTGTGAAAGCAGGAAAGAAGTTGTTTTCATCCCAGGAGTCAGTGGAAGAGGGACTCTGGCCTTGTGGTGAAGCTGCTTCATGTGCCTCTTAGCCTGTTTGCACCATGAGGAAGGCACTTTGTATGGTGGCAGGGGAGCTCACACTGCTCTTGCACCATCTTTGGCTTCAGAAGAGGGGCTGGGTTGGCCCTTCATGCATCCAACCATCTTCTCAATGGTTCAGGGTTGTTCCTCTCTGTCCATCTTCTTGAGGTGGTACCTTCGAGTCCTGAGCAACGGGGCTGGCACCATCCCTCTTTGGTGTCCTTACAAACTCTGCCCATCACTCACCTTCCCTCTCAGATTTCATGGCCATCTTGTACCTGTGCAGCCCATTCACATTTCCCCCTCTTTACTTGCAGGACCTGCCTACGTGATGGAAACTGGCACTAAAATAGTTACCAGCTGAACTCCTAGTCCTGGCTTGCACCAGGCCAATTTGCTGGGCCAGTTGAGCTGTGTCCCTGCCCAATGTAAGCAGGTCCCTGGTTATTTTAACTCTATTTAGAACTTTTTATTCCTCCCACATTTACGGCAGCCTGCTGATTTGCCACTCCTATGGGGATCTTCAAAACCATCACCCTTTGTTCAAACGCCTCGTTCTTTCTGGCATGCAGCTTGTGGGAAGCCATATAAACCACAGAAAATAGCATTAAACTGAGTTCTTGTGAGACAGCAAAATCTGTTGGGAGTAGCACCGTCATGGGAGTGAAGGAGAATTGCTTTTAAGTATGAGGCTGCTATGAAGAACAGGCACCCTCATGACTTGTATAGTTTGTTCAACAGACTTAAAGTATCAGAGCAATCCCCATCACTTGAGCTCTTTGCAAGAACATCGATTGCTGGTTTTGGCATCCAGCAGCTGCATTTTTAGGGAGCTTATGAGCATAGCTGTGCTCACTGAGGGTAATGGCCTAGTGCTCTGAAAGGTTTCCAAATGTCCCTGTTCTGTATCTTTTCTTAAAACCTCCATTTGAAACAAGCCTTGTAATTTTTTCTCTTATTAAAAATAAAACATAACTAAACAAACAAACAAACAAACCCTAACTGTAAACCAGCAGATCATCTGGCCTGGAAGTGGAGCGCCGTGGGAAGCACATCTTCATGTACCTACAGGTGGGATGAGGCCCTGGGACCACTACCCAACATTTTACCTGCCACATGTTGCTGGTAGCAATGCTGGTTTGGACTGAAACACAGTTCCTGCATGTGAAGCAACCACAGGGCAATATACTGGGGAAGGGTCCAGGTTTGCTTCGTTGACTTCCCCATCTCTGGATGACTGCTGCGTAGTATTTGAGCCCATAGTGATTCCTTGGGGAGGTGCGATACGGGAAGCTCAGCTGGCCTTTCCCCAGCACCAGAAATGGGAACTTTGACTTTCCTGTTCTCCTTATTGCTGTTTTGTCTCCTCAGTCGCCTGTGTTGATCCTTTAATGCTGTCAGCTCTTGGATTTTTTTCATTGCATCTCCTGCTTTTGCCTCTTGGCACTGATCTACCGTCATTTCTGAGAGCTCCTCTGACTTGTTTTTCAGCTCAATAAATATTTCCATCTTTTCCGTATATCAGAGACAGATGATGCTTAGCTATGTTCTCCTGCTCCTGTTGCATGTCTGCTCTTTGGAACAAAAACCAAAAGCAGCCATTTGGCTTTAAAGTAATTATTTAAACCTCCTGCCTTTCTTCATTAAAGTTTACCAAAGGGGAGGTAATAGCCTCACATTTGCTTTGGGCTTGATCCTGTGGTCTTCTTACCTGCTTCATAGCCACCATCCGCAGCAGCAACTGTCTGTTATCCATGCTCTTCACTCCTTAAAAACAGAGAGAAATGCCCCAGCTCAGCTTTGATGTTTTAACAGGGAGAGTCTTTATATAGTTCACACCCCTTGTCTCAGATTTGATTTCTGTTATGTTAATGTGGCATATCTGTATAATGTCAGGAGCTCACTAGGATCCATGGTACTCAGGAGCCATTTGCATAATATTTTCTTTGGGGTGTATAAGATGTATAATGTTTAGCAGTCCTGAAAATGATACAAACAGGAGCAGGCAGTCAAAGGTAGAAGGGATATGTGAATAAAATATTGGGAATTTGGAAGGACTGGAGAGTTGGAAGACATCTAAACACCTAAGGACAGGGGAAAATGGACTCCCTTCTTCAGCATACTTTGTCACAAAATCCAATCACAAGGGATGGGACAAAAAAGGAAATGGAGTCTCATAAACCCTATTTGATGCACATTTTGATAAAGGATTCTTTTTAGAGGAAAAGTTGGAGGCAAGTTTTGATGAATCAGGAAAGAAAGAGTCAGGTTAAGGGACACAAGGGTTGTCTGGGAAGGTTGTCTTGAGAAACTTTGAGGTACAACTGTTTTATACAAGAAAAATGTAAATTTGCTAGACTCTGAAAACTCGCCAGGTGATCTGGGAGGCAGAGGCAGGCCAAATAGGACGGCTTTCCAGGCTTTATTCTTTTATCCCAAGTTCTTCTTCAAATTCAGCCCCACCGGACTGCCTAGCATCAACCTGACCCACAGACCCTGACCCAGCCACTGGGGAAGGAGCTACCTTTTGTAGGGCAGCTGAAGATGCCTTTTATATTTCCACAGCTCTGTCCCCTGTTGTAGTAAGAACATTTTAACATAGCCTATCATTATCTTGATGGACTATGGCAGTGTGCCCGTGTCCTGGTCGGAGGCAGGGACTTCTCAGGAATTGGGGTGCAGGTTTCTGCCAAGCACCTGGGGCCAAGTTAGGAGCCGTTCATGCTAGGTTCAGTGGAAAGAAACCTCCTTTGGCACATAGTGGACAGGTGTTGGAGTATTCACACATTACAACAGTGTATTAGGAATAACAATATATGAACAGAACCATCATTTTAATTTCTTATACATACAGTGGTCCCAGTTTGCTGGATGACTTGAAGATTGGGGTAATAATTACCCTGTGCTGCAGATTGGGGCATATCCCAATCTTCAAGAGTACTCATAATCTGGCTGTCAGCTATGTTTTTATCCACGTTCCCTTGGATTTTCTTCCTTATTATAATGTCTCTCCAGTATGAATTGACCCTTTGAATCATTCTGCTGCTTGTGGAAGTGCAGCCTGGATGCCCTCATCTGCCTTCTGCACTGTCTTCCCTTCAATCCCTTCTATAAGCTGTCATGCCCGAGCTCCAGAAAGTCTTTTCTGTTTCTCATTATTGCTTCCTGTTCCCTTCCTTACTGGCAGTTTTGACCTTAGTTTTGTTGACTTGTCTACCTTAAGAAGATAACTCTTTGAAGAGTCCTTACCAGTACACCAAAGCATATGTAACAACTAAATGTGAGGCTCAAGTTTTAATAGATTTATGTGCTTTACAAATTTTTTTCTGTTCTTCAAGTAACTAACTGATGTTGGTAAGACTCCTAGCAGAGGAAGGCATAACCCCAAAGAAATATTTTTGCTGGAACTTGCCCCTTCATGATTCTTTTGCAGTATTTGAACTCCAAAGCACTCAGAGAAAATACTGTGCCTTTTAAAACCCAGTGTGGCAAGTCTGCTTTAGGAATGCCACAAGAGTGATTTCTTGCATTATTGCGGACATTTTGCTTTGAAAAAAGCAAAAGCTTCTTTACATGAAAAAGATTAGTCACAGGGTATTAAAATTTAGGTTTAAGCATTTGCACTGAAAAGTCCCAACAGGGAAAACATAATATTCCAGGTTCCCCCCCAAAAAATGCACCTTGTTAACTCTCACTGGTGTAAGAAAGGAAAGCAGACCCACAAAGAGTTTCAATAAATGCCCAGGCTCTCACTTCTAGCAAAATTCAGATTATGGTGGCTGAAAGCTATAGAGGCAGAAGGCTCAGTTCCTTTGTGCATGTGTCCCATTCCCGCTATTTTCCATTACTCCCTCTGAGGTGTCTGTGTTCCCAGAGGCAGCAGGACAAATGACTCCCTCTGACATCCAGCAGGCTTTGGAAGGCAGCTCTTGGGAGGTATGGTGACAGCTCTCCTTCCTCTCCTGCAGATGTAACTTGTCACCTCCCTGACACGCTGCACTTTCTGACTTGCCTCTTGAAATCCCCGGGTTGGCAGCGCGATGCGGTGGAGCTGCGAGGCTGTCAGGGTGAACGTGCACCTCAGCACCGGTGCAAAGCTTGGCCTCGTTTTCCTCCAGGTCTCCTAAAGTTCCTCTGGGAGAAAGGTGATGGCCCTCTGCCTCTCAGGCATTTTTCTGTGCTTGGTTTTGTTTTCTGCCCTTGGAGTCAGAAAATAGGGAATTTGCTCCACTTTAGGAGTCATCCTTCTTTGTGAGAATATGAGCTTCAAAAACACCAGGATATTTGCAAATGCAAGGGCTGTATGTGGAGGGCAGCACAAGGTCTCAGGGAGCTTCAAGTTTCAGGGTCCTACCTCTTGGCCACCGTCAAATGTTTGGTCTTGTAACGTGCGCTCGTTTGGCTTTTTATTTTCAGCTCCTGAAGTGCTGGCCCAGAAACCCTACAGCAAAGCCGTGGACTGCTGGTCCATTGGGGTCATCGCATACATCCTGTGAGTATCTGTTGGGTTTTCAATCACAGAGTTGGGACCTGCAACATGCCCTCCCACCATGTAGTTACCCGCTTCGTCTGGTCCAAGAAAGTTCATCTCTGACACTTGTGACCCAGGATAACATGGAACACCTCCCAGTTACGTAAAGGCTGAGATTTGGGCAGAAGTGGTAGGAAATGAACCAGGACCCTTCAAAAACAAAAATCCTTGCTCCCGCCTGAACTAAGCTGTGTGCAATAGTATGGGCTTGTCCGGGTTGTAACGTTAGTGAAGCTATTCCCTCTGCTGCTCAGGTTAGCTTTGACAAGAAACAAATTTGGCCGTATCCACAGAGCACAGCATCGTGCCCACAGGCGTATCCTGAAGGGCCACCTCTCTCAAGGCGTCACCGTAATGGCTTTTTTTTCCCTGGGGAGGGCACAGAGGGAGGTAAGGGGGGAAGAGCTTTTCCTGTACTGCAGTGAATTATTCTTATCAAAACATAATACAAAGAATGGAGATTTTTACTGAAAATGAGGAATCGTTTTCCTTAATACATCCAACCATCAGGTCCCATAGGAGAGGGTGAGCTGATTTCTGCCATGTCAGTTCTGTCACTCTTCTATCAAGCCATTAAGCCTCTGCATTCTTGGCTGAGATTTGCTCCTCTAATGGGGCTAATGGCTGCTCAAGAGGGTGGGGATTGGTTGCTTGAGAAAGCTACAGGACCAGGACTTTTGTGCATTCGCCAAAGTGGTGGATAGATCTCAGAACTCGTATGTTTATGGAGATTTAGTGCCTGTCCTCATTCAGTACCTGCCACCCTTCTTCCCAAAGGCTTAATAGGATAATTTAGATTAGAGGGAACCTCAGGAAGTCCTGTCCTTGAGGTCAGGCTAGGTTGCCTAGGGCTTTATCCAGTCGGGTCTTGAAATCTTCTGAAGACAGAGACTGCACAAGGTCTGTGGGCAACCTGTTCTACTGCTTGACTGTCCTCACGGGGAAAAGGTTTTTCCATATACAGACTTGTCTCCATGAAAGGGGCAGTCAGTACTCTAGATGTGTGTGCACCTTCAGTGCTTGAGCCATGGAAGTAGATAAGCCACCTCCTGTCCCAGCGACAACACTTGGAAGGATTGGAGAGGTGTCCTGGCCACTGCTGTCACAGGGATGCCCTGGTGCCAGGGGTCATTAGTGCTGTCCAGAGAAGGGCGTCCATAACGTTTCTGGGCACCATCATCTGAATCCAGCTCTGTGTGCATAAGCATATGAAATCACTGCTAATATTTGGATTGAGAAGGAAATGCAGAACTTGTTGTCTGTGAACCTGTAGGAAGACTCGCTCTAGCTTAGGGGCCTGTCTTCGTGGGGTGGTCTGTGCTCAGGGCTCGGGTCTGTGAGTCCATGCACGTCATTCAAATAACAATTGCGTAGGTTGCATCTGCACTGCCTAGCAGACTTTGAAGCAGGAGCTATTCATGCAGGTCTTCGAGAGGAGGTCAGGCTTTTGCCACGGGCTGACCCAGGGTGACAACTCAGAGTAGAACAAGCCTGTTCCTTTTGTGCAAGAGAGCACAGAGCTGCTGTGTAGCTGTTTGCTGCAGAAACAAATGTCTTTTCATGCCAGCATTACCAGTGCTTCCCTTTTTTTTTTTTATTTTTCCCTTTTACACAACTGTCACAGTTATACAAGACTGAAGGAAAAAGCAGCTCCAACGAGGCACAGCATTAAAGCATTCCTACTTTGTTCCCTTTCTCCTTATGCAAACATTTCATGGCTTGTCAACATGAATAACTTTTTGATGGTGTAGTAGAACTATTTTTGCCAGGACTAACCTCATTGCTGTATTATCCACTCTGTGCAATGTTCATTCTTTACATTTTCATTTAGTCTTGAGCATAAGTTACATGCTACCCAAAATAGCTTTTTTATATTAAGATAGGAAGGCTTTATTTATTTGCATGTATGTTTATTTATTTAAAACAAAGTCCTGCCTAAAACATCAGTTTTGTGACTGGCTTTCCAATCTACATGAATATTTGAAAACTTGTTGAGTACAAAACTTTGCAGGGCGATGGATTTATCTTGGAGCAACCATCAATAGCAGGATGCAAAAAGCTTTTGCATAACAAAGCAAAAATCAACAGTGCTGATTCTGACTTTGTGGCAAAGCCCAGCGGGACATGCTACAGCAGTGGGGAAGACAGCAGACATAACAAAATGCCTCGGAGGCTGCTTCACACATCACTCCCTAGTGCACTTTTAGATGAGGATGGTGTGTGCTGACCCAAACTTAACATCTTCCACAAGCAAACCTGAGCATGGAAGGCCTAGGGGTTGGGTTTTTTGACATTTTTGGTCCTTGCCAGCCATGGCAGGACAATCAAGTAGAGTCTTTTCTGTTGCTTTTGTAGTACTTTGCTCAGCACCAGCTTCAGAGAGCAGGAAGAAGGAGGATGCAGGTGGAAGACAGCAGTATGCTGCCCCACTTCCAGGCTCGACTGCTGCCTAGGTTCAGTTTATTGTCAAATATCCACCATGAAAATATGTGTCCATCTGGCAGCCCACAGGAGGGCTCTGAACTGTTGCATCCTGGTTGCCTGGAGATAAACTTGGCTCTGCTTTCCTCCAAGTTTTCAGTCCCATTCAACCATGGCTCATGCACCAAAGGTCTTTTTTGCTGGCAGACCTGTTGTTGTTATTTCACTTGTTGCTTTTATGTGTCTTGCTGAGGAATACGGGTGAGACAGTGCTAAGTAATGTGTCCTCCACACATCAAGTTTATGAACACATCTTCGATAGGTGGAAGGTTTTGATCTCATCCGTAATCCTTCCCCCTTCCTAAGCAAGGCTGCTCTTTCTGCAAGGTTCAGCTCAGTTGTTTCCTGCTCTGTTTTCCAAATCAGCATGTGCTGGGCTTGTCAAGCAAGGCATACACACTCCTCAAATCTAAATTCCCCATTTGCTGTACGGGGAATTCCCAACCCTGAAGGCTTAAATCAGTTTAGCAAGAATGAGTCCCTGTGAATTCCTGTTTGCAGGACAAGGAAATCTTTTCAGGGTTTCTGTGCTTCATGTAATAAGGACTTGATTTGTATTATGTACAGTCAAAATGAATGGCAATAATGCATTGCCATAGAAGGAGCGTGGTAACGTGTTTGCCAGACTGTCACTGCTTGGGTGGGATTGGGTCTGAGATCAAACCACCTCCTTGAATATTTCTGTATGTGAGCTAAATCCTTCAGCTCCTGTTACAGCCAGCGGCACTCCAGGGCTCACTTTGGTAACCGTAACCTAGGTGCTTTGTGCTGTTTCAGTCACATACAGTGTCCCACCTGGTCTCAAGCTGTGGCTGCAGGACGGTCCAGCCCCCCATAGCCCCATGGCGTACCTGCCAGCTGGGGACAGGGGTGCTGTGCACTCGACAGCTTCTCCAGTGGCACTGGGCTCTATGTGGGCACCTCAACCCAGCCTGGGTCGACGCAAACAATCATTTCACTGAGACGTGCCGTTCAGTTGCCTAAACTTACGCTTTTAGTGCTCGGGGTGTCCGGGACAACCATGTGGATTTGGCAAGTGTAATGCACTGTGGAGACCTTCCTTCTGGAGTGGCAGATGGAGGCCAAGCAGGAGACCATGGACCGTGTCAAATAGCACCAAATGCCCATGCTGAGGCTACTGGATCACACCCTGCTCCGTACTCAGACCCCTGCCTTCACAGTATGGTTTCATCTGCTTTATGGTACATTTGCATCACTCGCCAGTCTCCGTTGACTCCATCTCTATTGACTGCAATGGGAGCTTAGAAACCCAGCCCACATCTTACGTGTCCTAATCTTGAACTGGGTCTCATCCTTGCTCCCAGGAATAGCCAGAAACTGCAGGTGTGGCCTTGTAAGAAAGTGGATGTCGGGGTACAGTAAAGACTGAGAGGAAGAGGGGTCCTTCCCTAAGCTGGAAGGAAGTAGCCCTGCTGGTGTGTCTGATACCACCTGATGGGCACAGGTTTAACATCTGATTGTGCTGTCCCAGCAGTGCCACACCACCGGAGGTGGCAGAGCCAGCGTGCTCACAGTGTGGCATGGCACTGAGATGCCACAAGCACCAGCAGCGTAGCCACCCTGGTGCAATGCTGGTAGTTAATCCTGTTATTAATTCCAATATACCACCACACCCATCTGGATATGCCATTGCCAGTTCCACTGTCAGTACGGTTGGAGCTACTTGCACTTGTCCAAACCAGTCAGAGAAGTATTTATGCATACAGCAATCCAGGCACATCATCCTGCATTACTTCCCCACCTCTCCCACGAATCCCACAGCCACTCTAAACGGACCGTTGTCATTTAAGAAGATGGAGACTCAGGGGAATCCAACACAGAAGCCGGGCATAAATTAAAGATGCTTTGAGCTATTATTACTGCAAGTGGTTTGAGTGCCTCCAGACGCAAGCTCAGTCTCACATGAAAGCCTTCAGTTTATGACACTGGAAGAACAAACTGCTGCTGGGGCACTGATGCCCTAGACAAATATTTGTTTCTGTGATATGCAAGGTGAAGGATGTCTTAGGAAAGAATACCTTTGTTTCAGTGCCAGTCTCTAATGCTTCTCGTTAATGACAGCCAGATTGCAGAGGCTGCAACCAGCGGAGTTTTTATCAAAACCTGTTTTGCATGACAAGTCATTATTCACACGAACTAATTTTAGCAGCCTGAAATTTCCTGTTATTCCAGTTGCAATATTTCTCAATTTGAAACAGCCTCATTGTTGAGCTCAGCTTTCTGCTTATCACAAGGTAGTTTTGGTACACGTTCAGCTTAAAAACATAAAGCATAAGAAGAGCAAGAGATTTCACTGGATTCCCAGCAGCTGGATTTTGGACCTGTCTGGGTCACATGAGAGGTTACAAAAGCTTGGGGAGCTAAAATACTGATTGCATGCATACTTGATATAATGAAGATTAAGTTAATATATGCAAAAAATAGAAGATCATGTTCCAAAGCTGGAAAAGCACGCGGGGCTAC